TGTGTGTTTATATATGCATAGAAAATATCTAGAATCATCATCAAATTGATAACTGTAGTTAACTCTGTGGAGTGAAATTGGGTAAGAGAAAAGATTCTCACTTTGTTATAAATTTGGTAATATTCAATGTTTTTAATAAGCTTTCACCATTTCAAAATTAAAATAATTTTAAAAGATACATGAATCTTTACGTTTCTTAAAAATGAGTTTGACACATTGAATTTGACATTTTATTGCATCAAATCTAGTCATTTTATAAACCCCACAAGATGCTAAAGTCACTGATGATTGCATCTCCTTATGCTCACTTGGGCTACAAACCGCCTGCTGACCTCTTGCTCAGGGTCAGCTTATTCACCAAGAACAACATAGTTTATGCCTCTGGGTGCTGGCTGGGCAACTCTGTCATTGGAATAGGCTACAACAGCCTGTGACAGGTTATCAACGTTTTATAGTCCAGTTTTTCACTGACAGAGATGGCCTCTGTGTTCTTGCCGCTTAGCTTAATAAAGGGCAACTTTTTATCTTATTGGATTTTTCTTAGTAGCCATGGTCCTAACTCTTAACACTTCCTTGACGTGTCAATGACTAGCACGGTAGTCTTAGACAATTCACTAAATGCGTCATACAATTCATGTCAAATAGTAATAAAAACAAAATAGTAATAGTGATAAAATGGTAACAAGTGAATAATAACACCATAACTTTATGTTTGTGAAGATCAAATGTGATACGTGTGATAAAAGCATTGCAAACGTACACAAGGATGTCAATGATGAATAAATTATTCTTAGTCATGCACTTCAACTAAAAGTTGCCTTTAGTTTAGATCACAGAATAAAGGAAAGGAGTAAATGTGGACCAGAGGTCAAGAAAGATTAAAGGACAAAAGAAGGGAAGAGAATGTGTGCAGAAGGGAGAAGTGGCATTTAAGACCCTCTCCACAACTGATTCTGTGATAAAGAAGCTAATGTGGTTTCCCCAATTGCCCAGAATAATGCCAACTGGCACTTTTCAAGTGAAGGGCTGTGATAGTCTCAGTGAGTCAAAGCGCCCTCTCAGAATGCACACCGGCTACTCCACCAGGGTAACTTCTTACTTCCCTCGTGTCCTCTTTCCATATTCCTTCCCTCTCCCTGCCAATGCTCGTGTGATCCTCCCACATTCAAAACATCAAATACATGGGAAAAGGGCTATGTGATTTTTTCTTGAAGAATTTTTCCATTTCATTTGCTCCAGTCTTAGCAGTTTCATACAAAGCAGTTTCTATTTTCTCCTGTGAATCATAATTATAATCAATGACCTAAGTGTGCAGGAGTAAATCTCCTTCCGCCATAGTACATGTTAATCATGTATGTCACTGTCTCCAATTGTTTTCAAATGTTTTGACTCCTAAATAAAGTGACTTTCATAGCTATGTAGAGAAACATGTTCAATTGAGATAATAGTTGAGAAAGTGATTTATAAACTTCAAAGTTTATATAAATGAGTCATATATTTTCTTCCTACCAGTAATCACTATTTTTCACCTTTATGTTTTCCTTCTCATGAAACTTAATTCAAATTTTCAAAGTGTACCCAGAATCTTGAGTCTGGAATCAGTTACACACATGTATTTTCTTGGGTCTGACACTTCACTCCTGTACTTTCTCATCAGAGCAGAGATATCCAAGGACATAGGGCAAATCTGAGCAATAATGAGTTCAAGTTAGAAGACACGCATCCAAAATTTATCTCTGCCTTTTCTGAGTTTGTCATTTAATCTTATTGAATTTACAGGTGGTAATATGGAAAATTGTAAGACAATAAAAATGCTTTCTTAACCTTCACAGGTAGCCTCAAAAATGTTCTTTATCATGTTGTGTTTCCTCATTCTTTTACATTGTAATTATTACCATAGGAAGTTTAGATAAATATACACTTCCATGACCCTTTGATCAAGTAATAATAAAGCAAACCTAGACCTTAATAAAAAGATTCTGCCCTGCTGGCCTCATCTCATGATTAGAGAAGAACCTGATAAATGCAGTGAAGGTCTACACAAATGCAAATATTTATCAGAAGGCTTTCTACCGAAGAGAGATCTTGGAGAGATTAAATAATAAAAATGGTGAAGACTTCTGGGCCATCCAATATCTACAACAGTATGAACTGGGGCCTATAATTAATCTCATTTTACATTGAATAGAACTAAACAATTTACCCAGGCCCAGATCATAGAGCCAGTGTATGGCAGAACTTGATTTCCATTGCAGGATTGTTTTACCTCAAACTTCATGTTCTTAATAGCCACCAGGTTTTTTTGCTAGGAGGAAATAAGAGTCATATACCAGTTGATCCAGGAGTGCTGCCAACATTCAGATATTTTTTCAATGCATTTCAAGAGAGTATTATCTTCAGATCAAAAACTC